GTCTGTATTTGTTTTTTGCACCCTTAAACAGCCCTTGAAATCTAAAATTCCTAGTTCTAACTTCCCCTTGGCACTGTTATAATAACCAAGGTGTAAAACTTATTGCATCTAAATTAATTAAAAGGCTATAAAGCTATATAATTATGACATTTATTGACCATCTAAACATAGATAATAATGTCATAGTTATTGCCTCTAGTAATTTTGTTATTTGATTTATGATGCACACTATTTCATTTAAAAGACGGTTTTTTATTTTATCAAAATTTATAACATTACTATTACATAAAAAATAAGAGTGGTGATAATTTTTTTTTTATTACCCTCAAGTAATGGCCTGGATTTAACTTTGATATAAAGTTTCTAGGTATTACAAATATCAATTGCATTAAATGCACATTCGGTTGATCAAATTACATAGATAATTATAAAACAAAACGTTTTCGAGGTTTTACAAAATAAAATTAGTTTTTAAAATTTCAAGAATTTAATTTTAAGTTAAAATTGGCTATCAAATCAAATGGCATGTTTCAAGAGAAAATAAATATTCTAATTATATTTGTTGCCAAATAACAGTTTGTAGTTCATTTTTAGAAAACTGGGACTAAATTTTGGATGAAATTTTATAAAACCGTTTGCATTAGTAAGAGAAATATTAACGGAATTTTTTAAATACATTTACATACATGGATAGATTGAGGATAGATATAAAATTTAATAGATCAGATGACAATATGGATAGATAAGTAATCGATGAATGGATGATTGGATAGAAAGGTCGAAAGGAAGAGAAATAAACGAAGAAAGAAAGAGACTGTGTGTGGGCAAGAAGGCGAAAGAGAAATAGAAGAGATTTGAGAGGGAGAAAGGGGGGAGAGAGAGAAAGAGAGAGATGGCAAGAGAAATAGAACGAAATTACTGAAAGAGAGAGAGAGAGAGAGAGAGAGAGAGAGAGAGAGGGAGAGAGAGGGTGAGAGAGAGAGAGAGAAGGAGATAGAGAGTGAGAGCAAGAGAAATAAAAAGAAAATGATAAAAAGAGACTATGAGGGAGAAACGGATAGAAAGAGACACACACACTGAGATAAAGGGGGAGAGAGATGGCAAGAGAAATAGAACGAAATTAATAAAAAGAGAGTGTGACACACACTCAGAGAGAGAGAGACAGAGAGAGAGAGAGAGAGAGAGACGGATAGAAAGAGACACACACACTGAGATAAAGGGGGAGAGAGATGGCAAGAGAAATAGAACGAAATTAATAAAAAGAGAGTGTGACACACACTCAGAGAGAGAGAGACAGAGAGAGAGAGAGAGAGAGAGAGGGAGAGAGAGAGAGAGGGAGGGAGAGAGAGATGGCAAGAGAAATAGAACGAAATTAATAAAAAGAGAGTATGAGGGCGAGAGAGAGAGAGAGATGTCAAGAGAAATAGAACGAAAATGATAAAAAGAGAGTGTGACATACACTGAGAGAGAGAGAGAGAGAGAGAGAAGGAGATAGAAAGTGAGAGCAAGAGAAATAGAAAGAAAATGATAAAAAGAGACTATGAGGGAGAGACGGATAGAAAGAGACACACACACTGAGATAAAGGGGGAGAGAGAGAGAGAGATGGGGCAAGAGAAATACAAAGAAATTAGTAAAGAGAAAGAGAGAGACAAAAGGGAGGTAGAAAATGAGAGCAAGAGAAATAGAAAGAAAGTGATAAAAAAAGAGTCCGGGAGAGAGGGAAAGAGAGAGAGACACACACATAAATAGATAGATGGATAGATTGAGAGAGAGGGGGTGAAAGAGAGGGCAAGAGAAATATAAAGAAAGTAATAAAAAGAGGGAGATAGAGTGAGATAGACGAAAGGAGCGATACAAAGTGAAAGCAAAAGAAATAGAAAGAAAGTGATGAAAGAGAATGTGAGACAGAGGATGAGAGAGAGATAGGGCAAGAAAAATAGAAAGAAAGTAATAAAAAGAATGAGTTAAAGAAATGGAGCGATAGAAAGTGAGAGCAAGAGAAATAAAAGGAAAGTGATGAAAAGAGAGTATGTGAAAGAAACGGAGAGAAACTGTCGCACACAGAGATAAAGAAAGATAGAAATATGGCAAGAGAAATAGAAAGAAAGTAATAAAGAGAGACTGAGAGTGAGTGAGATAGACAAAAGGAGAGATAGAAAGTGAAAGTAAGAGAAATAGAAAGAAAGTGATGAAAAAGGGTGTGAGAATGAGAGGAAGAGAGAAAGAGAGAGAGATTTGATAATTAGACGTGCACAGGGAATTTTGTAATTTTATTTGCCTTCTCAAATGCTTATTTTTAATTTGCTCTAGTTTGAATTTCCAACGGCTAATACTGTTAGCAATTTTGACACAATGATCATTGTTTCCACAAACAACCTTGACCGATTTTTCTCTGAACTGATCGCTTAACATCCTGATATCTTAAAATTAATAAGACGATATCTACAATTCTTTCTTTGGGAGTCGTATCTCGGTTTTATCGGTACGCAAAATTAAAACAATGAGTTCCCCCTCAGCCGTCATTGTTTTTTCTATGTCTGATTAGTCTTAATCATCAGTATAAGGATTAATTTAAACTCGACGATAGGTCGAAATTTATATGGGTGTTTTTTATTAGTTATAAACGAATTTTAATCACTCCTTTGGTTCCACGAAGTCTACTTTTTAAATCTGTAATTTCGACAGTTGCAATAAAGTAGTAATATTTCACGTGCACTCCTAATATTTTGAACTCTTCACGTGGTTCGTGTAGGTTTTGGTGATAGATCAAGGTTGAAACGTGCTACCGAGGTTAATAAAATGTTTTGTTATTTAATTGGTGAGATATTAAAAAAGTGATTTGAGGCAGATGCATGAAAACATGTTTATGTCGATTAGTCTGATTTCAACAACATTTCGGCTACAATTTTTAATAATCCAAGCTTTTCTTATCGACGTATCGACTTTAATCTAATATAGTTTATTTGAAAGTCGTCATTGATTGTTGATTGATAGGGAGATGATTGATATGAATTTTCTTTCAGTCGTGCACTGCACAAAGAAGGAGAAATGTAAACTGGAGGATCTGATAACGTGCTAAAATTATCAACTCGTTTTAACAAGATAACACTATTGTTCTATTTTGCCAGGCTATTTGAAGTTGAATAGTAAGTGGAATGCTGGAAAAATCAGATTTTACATGACACACAGGGCACAATAAAGAAATACGCGCTTAAATATATGAGCCAATTTTCAGTAGAGAATTTTAGCGGAGTTTTAACCATAAAGCATAGCTTCTCATAATTCCGCCAAGTTGCATAAATAAATCAATTTTTTTAAAATTATTGTAGTTGTTTCACGTCAGAAGATGGAAGGTAAAACATATATAAATTATTTGAGTAAGTAAATATATTTTGAATTTTTGAAGAATAGTTTGATTCGTATGCGCCATTACAAAAGAACAGAGAAGAAGAAGCAAAGGAAGAAAGAGATAGGCAGACGGAGTGAGCCAAAAAGAGAGAGGAAGAGAGCGAAATACTGACAGATAGACAGGTAGAAAGAGACAGACAGAAAATAGAAAATTTGATTAAAAGTTTGTAAGTGAGAGAAATATTAAGTGCAGGTAAACATAAATTACATTAAGTGGAATATTAAAGAAAATTATCATGCAAGCCCCATTACAATGGAACATAAAATTCAAATCCGGAAATGGGAGTGAAAAAGAGCGAGAGAGAGTGAGAACGAGATAGATTTATATAGATAAATAAATAGAGAGAGACGGATAGAAAAAATGAAATATATAAAAAGTGAAATGAGAGAAAGAGAGAAACAAAAACTTCGATGAAACAAAGTTTTCATTACTGAGAGAAATATTACGTGTAAGTAAACTTAAAGTAAGTAATTAAATGAAATGGTAAAAAAAATTAGCGTGGAAGCCACATCACGAAGACACACACGTTCAAACTCCTGCAACGGGAGTGAGATTAATAGAATGATAGATAGATAGATAGATAGATAGATAGATAGATAGGTAGATAGATAGATAGATAGATAGATAGATAGATAGATAGATAGATAGATAGAGAGAGAGAGAGAGAGAGAGAGAGAGAGAGAAACAGACAGAGCAGAGAGAGATAGATAGATAGATAGATAGATAGATAGATAGATAGGTAGATAGATAGATAGATAGATAGATAGATAGATAGATAGATAGATAGATAGAGAGAGAGAGAGAGAGAGAGAGAGAGAGAGAAACAGACAGAGCAGAGAGAGAAGATAGATAGATAAATAGATACATAGAGAGAGAAAGAGAGGATAGATAGATAGATACATAGATAGATAGATAGATAGATAGAGAGAGAGAGAGAGAGAGAGAAAGAAAGAGAGAGAGAGAGAGAGAGAGAGAGAGTGAGAGGGAGAGAGGGAGAGAGAGAGAAAACCAGAATCTAAATTACATTTTGTTTAAATAATGAAATAATCGCAGAATTAGAGAGAAAGAGACAAAGGCAGCGATAATTAAATAGATATATAAATAGACAGATAGATAGAGATAGAGAGAGAAAAAGAGAGACAGAGAGTGAGAGGATACAGCTAAGATGAAAAAAGAGAAAAAAAGAGGCTGAGAGGGAAAGGATGAAGAGAAATTACATTTAAAAAATATATTAAAATCAGACTATGTTGCGGGGTAATTATGAATTTTAGCTGTTCCTTCTTCTTGAAAAATATTTAAGTGTTATATTTAAAAAATCCTGAAAAAACAGAACAGTTTCAATAATGAATGTAGGATGAAATCTCCGAACTTTGATTAATTCAGTCAATTTTCATAGATTATTGACATTGATTTGTTCACCGATTTACCGATTTGTGACGTCACATCGAGACATCTCGCTTTAAATAAATTACGCACAATTGAATCAGCTGACTGTCAAGTTTCGGAAGCAGAGCGTAACCTCGCGATCTTGTTCGGTTAGTGATAATAATGATTAGTCATAGAATATTCCTTTTTTCTCCTTTTTCATAGATTGACACCTGCGGATCCTTCGTCACCTCGGTTATTTCCTTCGTTGTCGAAATGGAAATGGACGAAGACAACGTTACAGACAAGACTATAGTTTTGGACCCGATTTCCAGGCTGAAAATCGTGACAAAACAAGCCAGCGAAGTAGAGATCGACAACAACATACCTCCTATAAGGTGGATACTATAGCTTTCCAAGTCTGTTTACACTTGTAATAACGTCTCATCGCGTTTTACAGATATTACAAATCAGGCTTGCAAATGGTCCGCATGGCCAATGTCTATCTGGAAGAAGGTGCCTTAGAAAACGCCTTTACACTCTACATAAAATTCATGACGTGAGTACTACAACATAAATATTTTGCTAGTCATTTTTCAATTGTTGGTTGACGTATTGTGGTATCGACGTTTGCCTCCGACATAAGGGCTGGTATGATACACCATACCAGGTTGATGTCTAAAAAAATATTGGGTTTTCTGGAAAGTAATATGTATATAATAAATTTACATTTGATGGATTATTCTTTTGTACGAATGTCAGCAATTTTTAATCCCCTTCCAAACAAAAATGTTTGTTTACATCAATAGCATTTCATAACTTGAAATAATTCAATGTCAACGCTTGATTGTCGTGCAATTTCATTTTACGAGTTTCAACTCGGAACGGTGCCCAAATGGCCAGAAAGTCTGGGGCTAGTGTGACCGAGAGCACCGTTCGGAGATTATTTAAAAAATTTTGAGATGGAGACGCCTTTCAAACAAAGGATGATGGTGTTCTGTGAGCTTTGGAAGAAAATCCCAGAATAGCAGAGGATTTTCCAGTTAGCAAATCAACCATCACTGACCACCTTAATGCAAAAGGTGAAAAAGCTCGGAAGTTAGGTCTCTCTTGACTCTTCCCCCCCCAAAAAAAAAATCGTTATAAGATTCACACAACCCTTGTTTGCCAAAACAGAAACGAATCTTTTCTGGATAGAATTGTATGAAAAGTGGATTGTCTATTATAAAAGCGGACGTTGTGGACAGTGTCTCGACAAAGGAGAAGCAGCAACACATTCTCTCATAAAAAAGGTGATGGTGATTCTTTGGTGGGCTTCATTTGGGCTGATTTACAACCTCATCTTGAATCAATGCCGAAATGTATTATTTTCGAATTGAAACACTAGAAATTGGCATTATTGAAGCCATCTTTGGTCAATAATGCTACACACACTTGGCCCACATGTGACAACAAGAAAACTTTTGGATCTTTGTTGTGATGTTCTGCCTCACCCTCCTTGTTCTCCAGACCTTTCGCCTACCAACTTCCATTTTTTTCAGACAGATTTTTTTCCAGATAAAATTTTTTTGAGTGAATGCATTTACAGAATTTGTCAATAATAAAGACACATAATTCTATTAAAATGATGTAGAGAATTTACCATCACGTTGGGAGAATTGTATTGAGAGTGATGATGGTATTTTAAATAATAAAAAAATGTTTAAAATAATTTATTTAATTGTTTTTATTTTATAACCATAAACCTGCATTATTTTCCTGACAGCCCAATAACAAAATTAGCTTGTATTTTGCTATATTTCACAATATGTGCAACCATCATGTACTTTGTATCTTTAGTCCAATGTGCAATCAAAGATTAATTCTAAATTGATTTCCCCTAGCGAAAAGGCCTATAAATATTACTGGTTAGAAAGTATATAAAACCTTAATTTTAGAAATTAGTTCAGTTTCCTTTCGCTTAAAATGTCTCTTTATAAATAAGTGTATGTACAGAAATGTAGAGAAAGTTAGCTTGATGTTTAATTGAACAGTGTTTCAGTGGCTCCATATAGAGAGCGTGTAGGGATGCCACATGAATAAGCCATCACTACCAGGTCAAATCCAAGTTTTGCCAGTTCTTTATATATTTTTAAAAAAAAAATTTTTTAATCACAGATAGCCAAAACATGCCACTTAGTTTTTTGGTATCCACAAGCCCCGCAACTTTTTCAACTTGAATATTAATCCCCAGGATCAGATAGATGGATTTGTTGATCTCTGTGCTGTAATTCTAGCTTTTTACACAAAATTAATACACAAAGAAGAAAAAAAAGTTGGCCACTTTTTTAAAAAAAGTAAATACTTGCAATTGTTATAATTTTTGTTGTTTACTGGATTTTTTTAAAAATAATTATAAGTTCAATTAATTACAGTTTTAAGTTGAGATAAAAAAAGTCAGTGTCATGAGCGGAATTCGAACCCACGACCTTCGGCTTGACGCCACGAAAAATAGCGAATTTAATGAATTAAAATGAAGTATACTTCACTAAAGCTCTCCGTGGCCATTTCACTTGTCACTGAGAATCAAATAGAAGTATCAAGCTGAAGGTCATGTGTTCAAATCCCGCTCGTGACACTGACTTTTTTATCTCAACTAAAAACCTTAATTAATTGTAATATATTAATTGGTCAAGTGGACCACGAAATTAGTGAATTTAATGATTTAAAATGAAGTACACTTCACTAAAGCTCTCCGTGGCCATTTCACTTGTCACTGAGAATCAAATAGATTACAGACATTTGAAAAATGGCAAAAAGGAGGGAAAATTCAAAAGGTGTGGTTGAGATGGGAAGTCAGTGCCCGAGAGGATCGAAGTCACGAATAGCTCAAGTGGTAGAGCAGCGGCGTATCAAGCCAAAGGTCATGGGTTCAAATCCCGCTCGTGACACTGACTTTTTTATCTCAACTTAAAACCGTAATTAATTGAATGATATTAATTGGTCAAGCAGACCACGAAAAATAGTGAATTAAATTATAAGATTTAGACAAATAAAAAAATATCTTCATACATAGAAGCAATGCTTTAAACTTAAACGATAAGCCATGATGAGGGGGGCGTCAGTGGCCGCAAGGTTTAGTCTTTGACACGGCGCTGTAAGGTAAAGGTCCCGGGTTCGAATCCAGAGGCCCTGCATTCGAACCCGACATACTTACAAATGGGCTTTTTTTCAAAAACACTGGCACCCTGAGGGTTTATATGACTGCTGTTGCGAACCCTCGTAAAAAAAATAAAAAAATAAAACCACATCGCACATGTAATCAAAAGTTTTGTTTTGAACCTCTTTTGGGCAGTGCGGACACATATTTTTTCATCATCAAACGATGAAATCAGTGCAAATTTTGCAAACCTCGGCCTCCCTAGTACCAAAATACGTTTGTACAATAGGCATGGATTATGGGTTTTGAAACCAAGAGAAAGAAAATATTTTAAAATTTATAGCGAATTATTGGCGGTATTAAAGTTATAAGAAATGAAAAAGAAAGATTGAAGGTGAGTGTAATTATTAGCGTGAGTGTGCAGAACAGAGAGTTGATAGAGGAATATTGAATACTCTATGACCTTTAATTAGATTAGTTATGAAATATGTGTAAAGGGTGAGAGAGAAAAAAACTGTTAAAAACATTCCTGAAAAGTCACCATGTTAATATTCATTATATTTATGTATATGTGTCATATTTAATAACATAATAAACAAAAAACAAAAAAAAAAAATATTTCACCACATTACTTTGTTTTTATTCATTTTTATGATTTTAAACAGCTATATTTTTTGAGAATTCGTCATTTGCTTTGTATAACAAAATATTGGATTTTTTTCTTAAAACTTTTTCACGTACATTTTTAAGTTTTTAAAGCTGTTAACATAAGAATGTATGTTTTTAGATTATTTCTGGAGAAAATCAGGAACCACCCAGAGTTTGAAAAAGTTCCAAAATCCGACAAACAAGTGAACTCACAAAAATTGAAAGAAGTCCTTCCGAAGGCCGAACAGTTGAAGAAACAGTTGCTAGCACAGTACGAGGAGGAGTACGATAGATATTTGAAAGATGTGGTACACTTTTTCTTTTATTATTTAAAGTTAGCTTATTTTTATTTTATAATTTCTGCTCGATACGGAAAAAAGTGTAAAACTTAATTGAACTCTTTATTAAGAGGAATTTTCTTTCCATAGAAGAGGCGGGAGAAGTTTATGAGGAATAAAATGGTCATTGACGAGAAATCTAAACCTAGTGTACAATCAGCCCCAGCGAAGAATTCCGTAAACAATAGTCAACCTCTCAAATTGAATATAAATCCCGTACCTCCGTTGCTCGAAAACCTGAGTTATCCAAATAGCGACACTTTTCTTCCTCCGGCTCCATTTAAAAACTCGAGCGCCGATAAAAGTGATTTGAAATCAAGGTTTTCTTTTGCCTATTTCATGATTTTTTTTTTATTTGATTTGAAACCATATGACTAATAATAAATTTTGTTTATTTAGCAAACCTATTATCAACAGAAGTTCAAAGCCTTCATTCCTCGTCTGTCCCAATGTACCACCGAGCAAGCTGAGGATAGTCATCGTACCTGGAAATTTGGTGTCGCAGTTTCTCCTTCTCGCGAGGAAGAATACGGATTTAAATATAGAAACCGGTGGGATTTTAGCGGGAAAATTGGTAAAAAATATTAACATGTTATAAAGATTAATAAATTAAATATATATAATGGAATAAAATGACTGATTTTTCAGAAAAGAGAGCAACTTCTCATCACGCATTTATTGGTGCCTGAACAAGTTGGTACGTGTGACAGTTGTACCACTCAGAGGGAAGAAGACTTGTTTGATTATCAGGAACAGCACGATTTGATTACTCTGGGCTGGATACACGTAATTATTAAACTGCAATGAAATATCAATTATGTTTAAAAAAAAAAAAATTTCAGACCCACCCAACACAGACGGCATTTATGTCAAGTGTGGATCTTCATACCCATTATGCCTATCAAAGGATGATTCCTGAAGCAATCGCTATTGTGTGCGCTGTGAATGACAAGTAAATTTTTTAAATAAATTAATCAAATATGGATATTTTATTTAGATTGGTATAATTTTTTTTTTTAGCAATGTATTCTACTGTTTAACAGATTACGGATTATATTTTATCAGTAATTGCACACAGACGGGATTTCATCCTCATCCGACCGATAACAACATATACACAGTAAAAATTAATTTATATATAAATCAATGTTGTACAATATAACATTGTGTTTTTTTAGGAGGCGAAGCATATTAAACCAGATCCAAGAGCTTCGCTTGAAATCGTCGATTTAAGACGGACAAAACGTTAATTTAATAAATATAAAAATAAATAAAAAATAATAAACAGGCATTAGTGTTGTTAAGATATATGCATTTGTATATCATGATGGAGGGTATCACTAAAACACGTATTTTAGTATGCACTGCGAGGGAACAAAATGACATATAAGCAGTTCCAGCTGGCTCGTCACCGAAGTAAAAGTATTAATAAATTTTATAAAATCTCCCTTTTTTTCCCCCAGTTTTTGTCACTCTCGCTTTCTCATCTTTAACCGAAGGTTTTTTTAAAAGATATTCATCAAAACTTGTTTAACAGATGATTCTGTAGAATATTTAAAGATGATCATACTTAATATCGTTATAACAATCAATTTTTTACATAATTCAAATTAAAAAAAAAAGAAAATCGTTAGATTTTTGTATTATTTACAATTTTTTAAAATTATCCATTACTTTAATAGTTTTTTTTCCCCCATTTAGTACAATAATTGTAGAAAATGAGGACTCTAATCAGACCTAGACTATTTATTATTAAGTTTATTTATTTGATATTAGATTTTAAGTAATATATTTTTTTTAATGTAACGTTTAATACATTAAAAAAAAAAAAAACATAACATTTCCTCCTTTTGTTATGCTCAATAGATAAAACTATTTTGTGTTCCTAATTTAATTTGAAATATGTTTTATTAATTATAATGTTAATGTTTACAATAACCCTGCTATCTTTTCGTAGTTCACTAGGTACAATGGATATTTAACATAGGGACTTCAAAACAGAAATGTAACTAATATATAAAATAAAAAGGGACAGATGAGAAAGCTTTGAGGTATAATTATTTAGAAATCAGCTTGGGATTAAAATATTTTTATTGAAAAAGTATTGTGATTGCACATTCTGCTTTAAGCTTTTTTAAAATTATTATTTTGGAAGTTGTTATTATTATTTTTTTTTTTGTATTACATACTTATATATTTCAAGAAAAAAAAGGTTTTTTAATTTTCTAGTCAATTAGTTTTTTATGCTAATAAAATGGAGGTTATTTATAAATTTATTTTATTCGTTTTGACTCTTTTTTTTAAACCGTAATTCCTTTTATACAATTTTTCATTAAGATATTTGGGCAAAGAAAAGCCCTGTTGAACATGACGGTTTTACGCCCTTCCACCACAAGTTATAGATCTTGCTCATTTGAACAAAGTCGAAATTTGGTCATATTAAACCTTTATTTTGGTTTCTTCTTAATTTGGTCATGCCTGATATTCGACCAGACCAGCTAAGATCACGGATTATCAGAGACAACCGAACTAAATGCCCATTAGCCTGCAGATTTCAACAGAAAATTTCAATTTAAAATTGTAATTTGATCGCAGTTTTCTTTTGAATTTCATACTTGTTCTGGCATCCCAAAGCTCTCTTTTGGCCCACTATTGTTTCTTTTATTTATTAACGATATGGATTTTTCCTATTCAGATGAAATGATAATTTATTGTGAAATTTTGATATAATTATCTTACAAAAGTCTGTACAAACTTTTAAAAAAAAGTTAAAATAAAGAAATATACAATATGAAAAATATAACAATATACAAGCAAGCTAAGAAAACAAATGAAAAAATTATTTAAGTATTAAACAACATGTAAAGTAAGAAAATAGCTTAAAGAGTGTTTCATATAAATATACCTAAAAAAATCACATCATTGTTATTTTAAATTGTCATAGCAAAATAATATATTTTGAAACACAATATAAAAAAATATTAGAAAATAGTTACATAGAAATATGTTAAATAAGTAAAAATAAGAGTATTTTAGGCATATTTAGTTGAATTATATTCAGTAAAATTTTTAATTCGAAATAATAAAAAGTTGAACATGGAAATATATACATATATAATTAACATAAATATAATATATTGTTGGTTTTATAAAAATTGTTAGATTTTTTTTGTCTCAGAAATGAATAAACCTAGGAAGTTTGCTTGGGAGACATGGAATTGACACATGACGTGAAGAAGAAAATAACTTTCATAGAAATTTGAGCTGTTATGTCATAGAAATGAGTAATCCTAAGAAGTTATTTTTGGAAACACTTATGTAATTTAGGGGCTGTGAAGTTTTGATATTTAGGTTGATAGCTGACAAAAAAAAAAAAGGAAAAAAACTTTTACTGATTTTGAGCTTTTATGTCTCAGAAATGAGTGAGCATAAGAAATTTGCTTTCAAAACGTTCATGGAATTGAAATTCATCCAAAAGAAGATGCATGAGTAAAAGAAACTTTCATTGAATTTTGAGCATTGTACTTCGGAAATGAGTAAACGAAATTTTCTTTGAAACATTTATGGAATTGACACATTAATAAAAGAAGATAATTTTTTTTACAGATATTTGAGCTGTTGTCTCAGAAATGAGTAAACTTAGGGGGTTTTCTTTGGAAACACTTATTCAACTGACACTCAATAAAAAGAAGACACAAAAAAAAAGGACTTTTACAGATACTTGAGCTTTTATATCTCAGAAATGAGTAAAATTAGTTATCTTTGGAAACAGTTATGGAATTGACATTTGTCTAAAAGGTGGTACAAGGAGATAAAGAACTTTTATAGATATTTGAGCTTTCATGTCCCAAAAATGAGTAAGACTAGGATTTTTTTGGAATTGACACGACTAAAAGAAGAAAGTATAAAAAAAAACTTTCATAGATATTGAGCGTTTATGTCTCAGAAATGAGTAAACCTAGGAAGTTGTCTTTGGAAACAGTTATGGAATTGACACTCAATAAAAAAAAGACAAAAAGAAAAATAACTTTTACAGACATTTGAGCTGTTATGTCTCAGAAATGAGTAAACCTTGGAAGAATTATAGAATTGTCCATTTACTAAAAGAATATAAAAAAACTTTTTTAGATATTTGAGCATTTAAGTCTTACGAATCACTTATTCAACTGACACTCAATAAAAAGAAGACACAAAAAAAAGGACTTTTACAGATACTTGAGCTTTTATATCTCAGAAATGAGTAAAATTAGTTTTCTTTGGAAACATTTATGGAATTGACATTCATCTAAAAGATGGTACAAGAAAATTAAAAACTCACAGATATTTGAGCTTTTATATCTCAGAAATGAGTAAACCTAGTAAGTTTTCTTTAGATACACTTATGGAATTGAAAAAAAGGAAGTTTCTTAAATTTTTGAATTTTATTTCTCACACATGAGTAAACCTAAGAAATTTTCTTTGGAGACACTTATGGAATTGACACTCGATAAGCAGAAACGCATTAAAAAAAAGAACTTTTATAGATATTTGAACTTTTTTGTCTCAGAAATGAGTAAGCCTTGGAAGAATTATAGAATTGTCCATTTACTAAAAGAATATAAAAAAACTTTTTTAGATATTTGAGCATTTAAGTCTTACGAATGGAAGCAAGAAATTATTTTTAAAAAATTGAACAAAATATCCTTATAAACCATTCCTGAATGCCAAATCATATTATTCACATGCAGGGTTTTATACATCATCAAATATAAATAAAATTTGAGCCAGAGTTTCCTTTTCCTCTTGCTATCTGTATTATTACGTCTTAAATTTTAAAATTTAAATTTGGCGAATTTAGTTTAAAGCAGATCGAGCTGCCCTCTACAACTTGTTGAGAGATCTGTACTCTGTAGATGTGTGTTGAGCCCTAGGCATTGAGTCACAGACAGTTGCTTGTTGCAGACACGATTAAGGTTGAGGTCAATTCTCGAAGTGCCTTGTTTTGATATGATTAGAAGAGTTTTTTCTAAATTCTAAGTTATCTCTTTATCATAATTTTATTATTCGTCTGTAATGACGAGTGTGATTATAGCTAAATCGTTTATGATCATCACCAGCCATGAATAAAGATGGAAGTTTTTATACGCGTTTACTTCTAAGTTTATTTTTAATCATTAATATAGGTGAGTTTAAATTTTCTTTTTTTTCTTGTTATGAATTAGGGCAGAATTATTCTGTAAGTTTGTCACTGTAGGAATTGCTGAATGCAACAGTCAATCTGGTAAAAGTGATGGCGCTGTTAAAATGTGCAACAAGTTGTCTTTCGACGGTACACCGGTCGACCGACCCTGTGAGATCGAACCTGCTCACGAAAGTGAAAAAACTTCCAAGGAAGAAATAATAAAACCAAACGTCAACATGACAGTTACATCGAATAACGGCACTGTGACAGAAAAGCCTGGTAACAGTAGCGTGACAGAGAAGCCAAAAAACAGCACTGTGACAGCTGAGCCGAACAGCACTGTGACAACTAAGCCGAACAGCGCTGTGACAGACAAGCCAAAAAACAGCACTGTGACAGCTAAGCCGAACAACGCTGTGACAGACAAGCCAAAAAACAACACTGCAGCAGCTAAGCCGAACAACAGTACTGCGACAGACAAGCCTAGTAATGGCACTGTGACAGCTAAGCCGAACAACACAGTTACGGAAAAACCGATGTCGTCCAGCACGAGTCTTCCGACAGCGACCAGCACTGCAAAACCCGCTGAGTATGTCACCCCTATACCGCACACCCAAGACCGTCACAGGCTCACCACAGAAGATGCGAGTAACGGATTGCAACCTCAAAAGGCTGAAATGGCCTTGCCGGGCAACAGCAAATTCGGCACTACCTCATCGGCGGCTTTGGCAGCTGGAATCTGCGTGTCGATCGCCCTCACCGGCTACATTTCGCTTATGGTCTGGAGAAGAGTCATGATGTAAGTTCTTACAATTAATTTTTTTAACAGTGACATCTAGCAGATAAGCATTTTTTATGGTTTTAAATAATTTATTACTGTCGGATTGGAAATTAAAAAATTAAGGTGCCTTTTCTACCTTTCAACATGACAAAAAACATGATTTTTGCTTTAAAACTCAGTTCTTTGAATATTTTGTAGAAATTTTATTAGCTTATAAGCAAAAATTGCTCTACCTTTAATATTATTTATTCAATTTATAAATATCATATTCCATTAATCAAATATTTCAACTTTCACGCCTTGACAATAATATTTTTGGTCCAATTATATTTTTGCCCAATACAAAACAAATCTATTCTTTTATTGGATAAATACCCAAGCTGGTGTTAACTTTTTTTAATTATTTATTTTGAATAATTAAAAAGCACAATTCTAAAATTTATTTTTTAATGAAAATTAAAATTTGATAAGCCAGGCCTTTCTTGACTTGCCATTTGAAAATATACTCTTGCTTAGGTATAATTGATTATTTGAGTTACCTTATTTTTTCTATTATTTTAAAAATAACAATTATATCAGATTTTGGATGGCATTGTTTTTTTCTTATTTTGTCGGTAAAAAGTCACTTTGTTTGGATCGGACCTGAAGGTGTTTTCCATTTTACACCTTTATTTCAATTAATCTCTGATGTTATCAACCATTCAATTGTGCTAAATTTTAGGGAGGAAGCACTTAATTTAGTAAAAAGTAAATTTAATCGAATTAACTGGTGGTGAGTAATTGTAGCTGTCAAAGTTCGCATTTAATTTAATACACTTGAAGTTGCTGTTCTTTATAAAAAGCTCAATTGGATAATTGAATATCTAACCTCGTCTTCTATTTGATGGGGAAAAAAAGTCTGACGAGAGATCCTGGATATATTCGCATTGACGAGTGTCAACAAGAGTCAACAACATCAGATTGTCCTTATCAAATTTGTCCAAAACCTTTTATTACACTTTAAAACTTTAAGTCTTCAGCAAATTGTTTAAAGAAAGATTTTCTAATGCAAAGATTAATTTTTTGTATTCAGATTTTTATCTGAAATTAGAATGTTTGGGTGAAAAATGATCGTTATCTTTATTACCACTAGACTTTATAATTTTGTACAAATTAATTTTTCATAGTATGACTGTCAATAACAATGAACACATTCAGAGAAATTTCATTAAAACCATGAATCAATTCCTACAACACTGATTGGAAAAATTTGTCAATATGATATTAAAAAACTTTTATTTTCTATTTTAAATATCAATTTATAATCAGTTTTTTTTATTAGGATGGTTCAGAATCATTCCAACTGGGTTTTTCAATCTCTCTCAGAAAACATAATTTTCAGATAACTAGATTTCAAAATAAATTAAAGATAATTGAAGTGTTAAAATTGATTACTATTCGTATAATTGCTTAAAATAGACTTCAAGCTTTTACCTGTTTAAAATGTTTTAAAGTGGAAAAGTTGATTTTTTTTTTTTTTGTAAGATCCTTCCGAATCTCCAACAAGCAATTTGCCCTCAGCAAACACGGTAAAAATTGTATCGATTATATTTGTGAATATTGTTTTACTCAAAAATTACTACACTTTAAAATTTTATTGGACTGAATCATGTGACTACAATTTTTTTATTTTTTTGATCTGGTACATTTTTGTCCTAATAACTTGTAAACTTCATGCCATCCTTGATTATGCCTTTTATAGAACATTAAAAAAAATAATAACAAGTTTCAGGATATTGATTGTACAGAGAGATTAACTTTTGTCCTCCTTTTTTATTGTTTTCAATAGTTTTTGGGAAAAACCCTGATACACTTTTATATTTTGTCAAGTTTTTCATCAGCCAAAAAGTTTTTGTCTAACTCCACTGTTTTATTAGTTTTACATTTTTTTCAAAACTTCGCAACAATTAGCTCAAACGGCATCAATTAACAGAACGATATGGATGTAGCTCATTAAAACGAGATTCGCCCTGGTGCAAATTTCAGTTAAAATGATAAAATTGTCATCAGTTGAAGTTGGAAATGATTTCTTTTTACTGAAAAACAATATTTTCTGAAATAGTTTATGTGAATTGAGAATTGTTAATAAAAACACAATAAAAACTGTTGACAGCATTGAAATCAGCGATAAAAAAAGCTTTAAAAAATGTACATTCAAGAAACTCTAGCCATTTGAAATAGTTAAGTTTCTATTTGTATCTCGCTCTCCTAGAGAGTTAATTTAAAAACTTAATAGTTGGCGAGAAACTAAACAAAAAATAAAAGCTCGTGTCTTAGGGTCCATAAAAGTCCCAATAAAAAATAAAATAAAAATATTGGAGAGAACAGAAATTAAATTTACGCTGTATAACCTCTGATGTAAACTTGTTATTACTTGTAAAATAAAGCAATTTTAAAATTTAGGGAGAAAAAATATAACAAAAGCCCTTAACTAAAATATTTCAGTTAGTCGTAACTGAACTCGTAACTAAAAATAAAACAGGATATACTTCATCCTCTTATATTGTACTTTTTATAATGAAGTGAACTCAGGTTAATTTTTCAATGTCATTTATATGAAGACGAGGGTTGTTCTCAACACTTAACCAATTTTTTTGGACCTAGTATGTTTAAATATTTATTCGTTTAATTTGGAGTTTCTGATGGAAATCTAGAAAGTGAGGGTTTTATGTCTCCCTAGCGTTGCAGCCTTTTGGCTTATTGTACTTTTCCTAGTGTCTTAGTTCAGTTCAGTTGAATCTCTTTCTCTTAGGTAGTCTCTTAGTATTAGGTCATTGACTATCATTTTCTTTTCTGTAGATGTTTTCTGATGCCTTTGACCAGTATTACTCCTCCGAGTTTAGCCTTCTCTAGCTTAACAGTTTGCCTTTTGTCTTTTTTGGATTCATTCTGAGATGGAGAATTTATGTGGGTTTTTATGTATGTATATGTTCATAACCTGTATATGGTCTGGCAGATCTCCTCGAGCCAGTTGTCTGCCTTTTCATTTTACCCAAAATTCTTTTATTTTCTGGCATCTACGATATCAGGTTTTGTTTTCTCAGGTTTTTGAGATTTTAGATGCATTCACTGATTAATTTTTACATGTTAGTGCTTTAACCATGGCTATCTGATCTTATGAGGATTTTTTTTTTCAGTGTCTTTTAAGATTTTCTAAGGCCCAAAATTTGAAAGACTGAGTTGTACTTCCATAATGAATTCAATTGCTCATATTTTGAGCTTATACAGAAAATGCCTGATCCGGTTCCTTGCTTTTCATTCAAATTTTTGGGAGTGGTTGTTTATAGAAATTTATTATGGAAATCACAAATTGAATATGCAGAGAAAAAATGTGAACAAGCCCTGAATGTCCTCAAATGTGTATCCGTGCATCTGTTTATCAATTTATAAATCGTTAGTGTTATCTAGAATTGTTTACGGAAGCATCTATGGGAATGCGGCCAAGACCCATCTTAAACGATTAGACAGAATCCAGCATAAAGCTGCAAGATGTTTCCTAGGTGCTATGGCTTCCACCCCCACAAATGCCCTAACAGTAGAAGCTGTTCTTATGCCACTACATTTGAGGAGAGAAAAACTAGCTGGCATATCAACAAGATTAGCCGACAGCGAACACCAAGCTGTTCAAACCGTGCATCACTCTGTCCATACAGACTGCAACAAGTCATCAAATTGATTGATCAAATTCGTTGATGGAGTTTAGGTCTTTTTGGATCTTGAGAATGGCCGAGTGAAGATCGGAAGGGTAGAAGGATATGTATATTTGGGAGTCATCGACATATAGGTGATAGTTACAGGACTGGATGAGGTCGGGCAGGTCATTGATATAAATGGAAAAAAGGATAGGAGAGATGCTAGAGCCTTGGGGCACCCCAGATTTTAGAGGGGGGAAGGAGAAGGTAAGGCCATTGGGAAGGGAGACAGCTTGGTGGCGATTGGTAAGGTAGGAGTGGAACCAACGGATGGTGCTGGTGGAGAAGGAAAAAGATTCGTGTTTAGAGAGGAGAGAAGAGTGAGAGACAGAATCGAAGGCTTTGGAAAAATCAAGGACAAGTATAGTAACTTTACGTTGGTCCATTGCTAAGTGGAGGTCACTGGTAATTTTTATTAGTGCTGATTGGGTGGAATAACCTTGGCAGAAGCCAGATTGGAGGGGGTTGAGAAGACGGGACTGTTTAAGGTGCCTGGAGACTTATGCTTGGACTAATCTTTCTAGGGGTTTGGACAGTTTTGAAAGGATGGAAATGGGATGGTAGTCTGTAGGGGAGGATGGGTTGGGGGTTTTATTGACAGGGTGGACAAGGGCTTTTTGCCAAGCTGTCGGAAAAAGAGAGTTTTGGAGTGAGTAGTTACAGATGTGAAGTAGAACAGGTAGAAATATTGGGAGGCAGAGTTTAAGAAAATGGATAGGGATGCCATCAACTCCAATGGCCTTGGAGTGAGATTTGGTTATGGTTAGATGGTTTATGATGACAGATTCCAGCATAAAGCTGCAAGATGTTCCCTAGGTGCTATGGCTTCCGCCCCCACAAGTCATCAAAATCTCTTTTTGGTACCATTCTTTATGCAGTTAAAAGAGCTCGGTCTAGGAAAAATGATTTTTTCGCCCAAGGACATCATCCCATGGAAGCTACAAAGTAGTTCTCCTAAAGTAATAAAGGAATGCCAGAGTCAATCATTTATTGCCTTGAAACAGGAGGATGTCCCTAGTGACAATATCGTATACCAACGGATCGAAATCCCCCAGAGGAACTGGAGCCGCAGTTCTAAACATTGCAGACAATTCCACAATTCAAATTAAACTCCCCCAGATTCTACCTATACAGCCAAAGCTGTGGGTATACTGGAAGCTGTCAAATATATAGCGAAAAACCCTAGTCAAACATCCATAATTCTATCGGACAGCGTATTATCAGTGGTTAGAAGCGGTCATATGAAGGACCCATTGATCACATCAATCAAACAGGGATTGATGGAAT